GAGTAGTTTATTACTATCTTTTTAAGGTTACGTTCTAGAGAGAGAGAGAGAGAGAGTAATTTATTTATATAAGTTATGAAGTATAATTTGGGTTTTCATGCCTTAAATGACATGGTATTGCTCTTGATATGGATTCTTCTTGATTATGTTGTAGGCTGTCAAAGACGTGCTTTTGCGTTAATCTGGGTTTTCGTTTCTTGGCCATGTAATTAGTTGTTTTTTTTCCTTTTAAACATGTAAAAGTTGTTCTCTCACTTTCTGTATACATTTTTGATAGAATAGTGAGGATTTGTTTATATGTGATTTAAGATGCAGAGGAAATGAAAATTATGCCTTTGTAGAATATCTTAGATAAATTTTTTCATATGAGACCATTTTATTGTCAAAGTTGTGTTTGAAACTTTAATTTATTGAAACTTCCCTTGTGATATTGACTTGCAACCTACTTGATTTGGAAAATTAATGAAAAACATGAATGCATTAGAAAATATAAGAAAATCTTTTGAAATGCAATATTTTAAAAATTAGAGCAAATTACATACGAACAATATTGAGGGGGGGGGAGGGGGTAACTACCAAATGGGCACTCATTTGCTTGAAATTACGAACACCATCCCTTCCTCTTATGGCAATTTTTTTTGTAAGTTGCCCCTGTTTGACAATACAAACATTGGACATGGGGCATCCGATTAAACTTGGGTAAATTTATTGTCCCATGTTTGATATACTAGACAACTATTTGACTTTCAAAAAACTTGCGAGCCCTTTATCTCTCCCTCTTCTCCCTTTCCCCGGTAGATCTTTTTCTCTTCTCTCCCTATCTCTAGGTCACCTTTATTTAACTTGTCTCTATCTCCTCCCTCTCTCTCTGTGCTCCCTCTCTAGCTCACCTCTGTTCAAACCATCGTAGGCACCCCAACCCCATTCTTCCACCCCTCACCCTTTGTATAATGTAGAGGAAGACAGATGCCACAATATCGGAACTACAAACCCCGATCTTCCACCCCTCGTATAATATAGAGAAAGACAAATGTGACAATACTGAAACAATCCGCTTCTCAAGTAGTGTTATAATATCAATCTAGCTCAAGACTCACAACTAAAAAAAAGAGAAGAACAACCCAAACGAGGTAGAAGAAAAACTCCATTGAAGATGAGAAATGAGCTACACAAAGGCATTACAATCTTGACACCTAAGATGAAATTTAATAAATGTGACTCAATTTTCTCAAACACATACCTCTATTTAAATAAAAGTTTTTTCCAACCATATTTACTACAAAAACTATCCACTTGCAACAACATCTACTAACCACCACCAATACACTTTAATAATTTTAACATATAAAACTCCAAATCTACCTCTTCTCTCTCTTTGATCCATGATCGTATGCTCTCTCTCTCTCTCTCCTCTTCCTAAGCCCAAATCTTCTGCCCCTCTTGTAAAACCCTAGATCTTCACAACACCATCAGATTGAATCAGCTTAACAGTCACAAGAGGAGGTTTTGTAGGGAACTGGACGCATGAAATGTAGCTCCCCATCACCTGGAAGCACCATGGAACCATATGGAGCTTCATGAACTTGATCCCCATTAACCCAACCTCTCTCCCTCTTCTCTCTTTCTAGATGCTAGGAAAGTGAGAAATGGAGCATTTCTATTGAAGAAACAACGATGGGTAGAGAAAACTCAAGTGCTGAAGCCAGGCAAAGAAATACCCCAAGTCCCCAAATTTTTCGCAGGGTCCAACCCTAGAGAGAAGAAAGATCCAACCTTGTATTGACAAATTCTAGAGAGAGAGAGAGAGTCTCAAACCGGGGAGAGGAGGGGATGAAGTAAACGTGATCCTGATCTAAAAATGCACCGATGAAAGAGGAGATGAGAAGCAGTCTTCTTATGAAATGGAGAGAGGGAGAAAAAGAGAGAGAGATGGGGTTTCAAGGGTAGAGGAGGTGATTTCCAAGAGGATCGATTAAGATGGGGGAGTATTATAGAGAGGTGGGGTTTTTAGAACGAGGCATAAAGATCCGACAAACTTCTTTGTCTCTCGTCCCTACTACAACTATGGCAACACTCATTTTCACGAAACAACAAGAAGCCATTAGGGGAGGGAGTTATCTAGAAATTCAAACTCCAAACAGCTCATTTAGAAAAGGCCTCCGGTCTCTTCGTTTCTATTGTCGGACAGGACAATAACTAAGGAAAAAAAATTGTGGGGGGTGTAGGGGGAGGTGCTCATAATTTTCAAGCAAATGCCATTTGGTAATTGACCACTCCATTAATGTCTATATAAATAAATAAAAGAACAAATTTTAATCTTAACAGTGTATTTTATAAGAAATGCATTACTTTCGTGCCAAAATTATATATATATATATATATAAATAAATAAATAAAAGAACAAATTTTAATCTTACCCTAAACAAACATGGGAAAGCCTTTCCCAGGTTATCCAGGCGTATTAGGGACGTTTTTTCGTGACTCACAGCACATGTGCTCATGGTTCCCGAGTTCCGTTTAGAAAGTGGATTTCTGGTGCCCTAAAACCAGGGAAACAAGTCCTCCGACGGTCCCCCACCCGGGTAAAAAGAACAAAGTTCGTTAGATACTTCCAGTGCATTAAAGGCCATTGAAGCATCCGTCCCGTGTATTTAAATCCCACCATTTACCTCACTCTGAAAAGAACCCCTTCTGATCTCCCTCCTCCTGCAACACAAGAAAAAACTAGGGTTTTTCTCCCACTGCAGCTAAAGATGAGGGCTTCCATTATCAGATCCATGGAGAAAGCCCTAAGGAGGGGCTCTTCCATGCGTAGATCTTTCTCAAGCGAAACCAAACCCGAGCGGAAGGTTGCTGTTCTGGGTGCAGCGGGTGGGATAGGGCAGCCTCTTGCTCTTCTCATGAAGCTCAATCCCCTTGTCTCCTCTCTCTCTCTCTATGATATAGCCGGTACTCCTGGTGTCGCTGCCGATGTCAGCCATATCAACACCAGATCTCAGGTTCACTCTCTCTCGTCACCATCATTTTCTTCTTTAAAAACTTTGGTTTTTCATTGTATATTTATCTTTTTTGGTTTGTGTATTTTTATAGTTGTATCTTCTCTAAAATGACCTCTTATCCCCCATTTTTAGTTTGGTTTTGAGGTGAATGATTTTTGGGGCTTTTTCTGTTGTAGGTTGCTGGGTTTACGGGTGAGGATCAGCTAGGGCAAGCACTGGAGGGCTGTGATCTTGTTATCATTCCGGCTGGTGTTCCTCGCAAGCCTGGAATGACCCGAGATGACCTCTTTAACATTAATGCAGGGATTGTGAAGTCTCTTTGCACTGCTATTGCTAAGTACTGCCCTCATGTGAGTTTATTTGGTTTTATAATTTTGTTTTCGCATTCTAATTTAGAGATCTTAACCGACGCTCCGAATGCTGACTGTGGTCTTGTTTTATGTCTCATTTCGAGGGAGTTCTGATTGTTTTGGAGTTTCAGCTCAGATCTTTTGAGCAGAGAATAGTATCTGGGCTGTCTTATGTTTTTAGTCTGATTGATTTCTTCTGTAGGTGTTGATGTGGACTTTAGTGCTGATATAGACTGTATAAACACCATACTTTGATTTGAAGACGATATTTCCTTTCTATCTTTTTTCCAGGCACTTATTAACATGATAAGCAACCCAGTCAATTCTACTGTCCCTATTGCAGCTGAGGTTTTTAAGAAGGCGGGCACATATGATGAGAAGAAGCTGTTTGGTGTGACTACACTTGATGTTGTGCGGGCAAAGACTTTCTATGCAGGGAAGGCTAAGGTCCCTGTAGAGCGTAAGTGCAGTTTACAAATGGAATGGCTATGCATTTTCTTTGGGTCGATTCTTTTTGGCTTTTTTCAAAACTGAAATTTTTATTCTAGATAAAATTTGGTCTATCTCAATGTTTCCTTATTCTCTTTTTCTTAAGAATTTGCTTTTGATTTTTTCAGAGGTCAATGTTCCTGTTGTTGGTGGCCATGCGGGTATCACCATTCTTCCACTTTTCTCACAAGTAATCATTCATTCCTTGCTCTGTAGATTTAAGAGGCATGCATGGGCAAAAATTATGTATTTTTTGAAGCTATATTTTTTATTTTCTTGTTTTTAGAACAGCGACCTTTACCTCCAATCAGTTCTGAAAACCAGGGACGTGTACATCTCTGATTTATGATCAATCTTGTTCTTCCTTTCAGGCAAACCCCAAGTCCAATGCCTTGTCAGATGAAGAAATCCAAGCTCTTACAAAGAGAACACAGGATGGAGGAACGGAGGTCGTGGAGGCAAAAGCAGGCAAAGGATCTGCGACATTATCTATGGCGTAAGTTTGGAGATCTGTTCTTCTCAGATTTTGATGTCAGTTATTGTGAAATCCCTTGCTTTAGCAGATGATCTGTGTTCTTGTGAGCGATGTTTGGTTTCTTGTGCTTTTTATTTTTGGCTTTCCACAAAGAAATAACAAGAGAAAGATGGCTCATGAACTGCCAGATGACTAGTTACTTTTTAGATGCATTGATGATTCTTTACTTTGTATTTGTTGGAATTCCAAATTTATAACTTCAATATATGAGAAACAACAAGTTTTTTTTCACATATTAGTTGGCTCTTTAGTTCACATGCTTCCTACAATTTTTTTAGTGGTAATTTAAGCTAAGGAATGCCTGCAGAACTAATATGTGTATTTTAGTTCACATGCTTTTTAATTTTTTTTTAAGCTGAGGAATGTCTGCAGAATATGATCTGTGTTCTGTTTTGAATTGGAAGGGTCTTCATTTTCTTCAAATTTAGGGTTCTGATTTTTCTCAATAACTTTCTTTTTTTTTGCAACTTCTCTTTATGCTTCTGCCTTGGTATCTACCTAAATCATTTGATCTCGGTTTTATTAATACTTTTCCATTTTGCTTCCTACTTTTTGTTAATTATATAATTCCTCTTAATTTGGAAGGGTATTTCAAGTGAGCTATTTTCTCTCCATATGTCTAGTTTGTCTGTATGATTCACCTATTCGGACTCTTTTGCATACTTCAATTTCCCAGTTTGACTGTTAATGATAAAAAAGAAAGGGTAGGAACTTTGGGCTTCTTTTGTTTATTTTTTTATTAGATGTAGTTTGTTGAAGAGAAATGGGAAAATTTGGTTGTTAGTTGCAAAAGGCGAGTAGTCAATAGATTTTTTGTTGTGTCATATTGGGTGTGTTTTGATCAATTACATATCGTTATATGTAGGCAATTTATCACAGAGTAATTTTCAGAAAATAATTTCATTTTATTTTTGGAATTTAAAAATAGTCCCACATATTTCACATTTTACCTCAAAAATCTGCATTTTGAGAACGTGTGCTGTGTTTTAATTTAAAATTTTGCCACACATCAGATTAATCTCAAATTTGGGGCATGCAAACTTCTCGCCATCATGCAGCTATAAAATTATGAAAAATAACTCAATAATAAAAATGATCTAAATTCCTGTAAAAGATTTTGGTGTGTTTTGGTTATTTATTTCTTTAAAATTATTATTTTTGTATTTTTTGGGGGTGTGTGATGGTGAGCTTAATCCAATGTAGAGAAAAATTAAAATTGAAATACACTATCCACAATCAAAATGTGGGATTTGAGCATAAAATACGAAATAAATGAAACTATTTTTAATTCCAAAAATAAAATGGGAATTTTCCATGAGTTTCCCTTTTGTTTTTTATTGTGCATTCTTTTTCTGAAACTTATGAATGCAAAAGAAGACAAAAAATGAAATTAATATCATACACAAAATAATATTTATATCATACACCTTCATTCACTATGTTGAAAGCAATAATACTCAAAACAGGAATTGTCTTTGCAAAATTGGCCCGAAGTACTATTTTTCCAGGAAGAGCATGGCTTGCTCTAACCACACCTATTTTTTCTGGCTTTCTGTTTGTTTGATAAGTTACTTTCAAGCTTGACTTCATCGGGGTTTTGGTTCAATCTTGAAATTTGAGATTTGGAATTCTAATTTGTTGTGCTTTAACTAGAAAGCCATCATGTTTGCCTTTTCATTATGTCCATAACCCGTTCAAGTAAATTATTTCCGCATATATATAAGCATGTGCTGTGACATATATGCTGTCAGATGTAATACATAGATTTTTTGAGGTGATGGGTATCGAGACATGATATTATCATATTTGTTATGTTTAAAGTTTGGGCGAGATGACTAAAGTTGAGTGGAGATGACGATCATGATATTATCTCATTATCAGTGCACGATTGATTTATCAAAAGAGTTTACTGGAGATAAACTATCTTTTAATATAATATAAGCATGAATTTAATAACTCGGGCAGCTTTCTGATTATGAGATCATGTGAGAGAACAATGACCTCTTCATACAGTGCAAAGTTTGAAGAGTAGGGCTGATTGGTGGGGTTCATCTGTGCATGTGCGCAACTGTGCATACTATTGATGCATATGACATCGGCATAGTTTTATCACCTCACAATCTTGTAAATATCTTCAAAATGTCAGTGGTCATTTTTTTTTTGAAAATTGCATTAATAAGTTTTTAGTGTATCTAGTCCTACATTTGTTTTCATAAATTGTAACCTTAAGTCATCTCCTGTGCAAAGGTTTTTGTGAATTTATGTCGTTTATGCTAAATCTTTTCACATAAACTTCTTGATTGAGAAGTGGACAATCTAACTCTACAGTACCTACTCTCCTTACCTGTCACATTTTAGCTTCTTCTCTTGCATCTTTTTGTACATAGGATATGCTTTTATTATAGAACAATTGTTTCATGCAGGCTGGACTGCATTTCTACAATATGCGGTCCAGAGGTATAAAGCATCCATTTTAAAGATGGATGCAAATAGGTGGTCCATCTAAAAACAATTGTAACTAACGGTCCACATGTTTTCTTAATATGATTATTATTTGTAGTTTTCAATTTTTTATTCTTTTTTCATATTCATGATATCCATGTTAAAGATTATATATACTCTAAAAATTAGGATCAAATACAAAATATATTTATTGCCAAGCTTGCATTTCTACAATATGCGGGCTGGCTGCATGCTAACCGTGTCCTTTATAATATGTTGGGCATTTTTTGGTGTCTGGATTCTCGATTCTCATGGATATTTGTGATTTCAAATTGCTAATTCATTCTATATTATTTCCCTATCGTATAATTTCTGAGTTTCTCGTGAAGTAACAATAGCATGAAAATAAGCTACTTAATGAATGATTCTGCGGTTGTCAGGGAAACTCTGATCCCTTTATCTTGACCTCCTTGTTATGTGTCTTAGGATCTCTTCTCATGTATGACCATGCAATGTGCTTTTAGATATACAAGTTTTTCTCTATGATTGTCCTTAATTGACTGTTTCTATTTTCATGCAGTTATGCCGGAGCTGTCTTCGCTGATGCTTGCCTGAAAGGACTTAATGGTGTCCCCGACATTGTTGAATGTTCCTATGTGCAGTCTAGTATCACTGAGTTGCCTTTCTTTGCCTCTAAGGTAATATATATATTTTTTTGATGTGTTGTTTCCAGCGTTTTAAAATGCGGAATGCAGCCCCGATGTCGGTGTATCACCCTGATGCGGTCAATGAATATAAAAATAAAAAAAATGTCAAAAAATAGTTTAATGCATGGAAAAAAATATGGAGATGATTTACGTGATAGTAGATATTTAATTTATTCTTTAACTCCAATATTATCAGCTGTTCGGAGACTTTGAAATTTGAATCCACTGATGGAAGATATTAGAAAGTAGAAACTAGAAACTTGAAAGTATCTTAATAGAAGACATAAGAAGACATCATATGCTCAAAGCCTAATCCCAATCGTCAACCCAACCAACAACGAAAACAATCCGAAGATTTTGTGCAAAAAACATTTCCGCCCAAACTGCCTATGCTCGTGAGCCCACATATGCGGTGGGATGCACTGTGTATGTGGGCGCATCCCACCAAAGCGCATATGCGCCCCTATACGATGTGCCTCGGGGCGCATAGCGCATTATGCAGTGATGTGGCCGCATTTTAAAACAATGGTATTTCTTTTCATCATCATTATCGTCAAAGCTCTTTTCCAACTAATTGGGGTCGACTACATGAATTTTGGTCCTCCATTCTGCTCTATTAAGGGCCGTACCTTTGGCGAGGCCATTAATCCACATATCTTTTCGCACTACTTCCAACCATGTCCTTTTGGGTTTACCCCCTTGCCTTTTTTGAGCCATCCACTTGAACTAATTTGTACCTTTTAACAGGCGCTGTATGGGGTCTGTGCCACATTGGTTGTTTCTTTTCACAAATGAGATAATGTTAGGTTCCTATTTCGCTGGATGCCATCTTGAAGTTAAGAGTGTGGATAGAGCGAAGTGGGATGGAAATTATGCCAACTTCCCACTTTCTTCTTTACCATTAAATAGGTTAGGTTGGGAAAGATGTTGATATGCTATTATTTGATATTTTGTATTCATTGAGCATTTTTTCAATAGCTTCTCTGAATGCCTCCCCAAAATGTGATTGGTACTGCCGGGGTGGCATTTTAGGTGACAGGTGAGTTTGTGGTCGAGTGGGGCTTCTGTGGTTCCCCCTTTGGAACCCCATTTAGGTATGGGCACATACAAAAAACAATGATGTTTTGTGAGCAAGATGAAAACTGGTACTGAAAACTCAAAATTACCAGTTTTCATTACTTGCAAAATGCCACATTTAATTGGAACTCGAAAACACCCATTGACCAAAATGCATCTTGCAGCCAAATTAGGATAAATTGTTTAGATTTCTGCATGCTTTGAATTTTATGTATGACAACATCTAATTTTCCGATATGAATATATTGAAACAAACATCAAAATGCACGTGAGATGAATAATATGCCTACAATATAATATGGACATGATGCTATGCTATGCAGCCAGACTTTGTATGCTATGCTGTGCAACATATATTCTTTCTAACTTTTTAGTTAGGATGCTTTTGGATGATGTAACATGCCAAGTTGTGTCCTTGCTCCTCGTGCATATTTGTATTTGGGCATCTAGTTGCCTGTATTTTAAGCAGACATGCATGTCTACCCGAACAGGTTAATTGAACAATATGGAACTGTAGTCTGGAGTGTAAAATAGAAAATATTACGTTAAGAAAGTGTACAAATAGAAATATTTTACTCTTCTGACATACATCATGCATGTGAATGCATATCTCATCATGATATTAGAATAACTAATAATGTAGAATAGGACAAGATACAATACCTCCAATTGACAAAGCATCTAAGCCCCACGAGGGGCATTCAATGTCCAACACATTTTGGGTGGTGGGGATTGTACCAGAGAGGTAGCCCCCCTCCATATGGACTGATTGTACAGGGTCCCTCTCAATTGTAAAATCATTGCTGTGGTTTATGTTTGACAGTGGATACACCCTGTAATATTACCATAGTAATGCCCTTTAGCCAGCAGTTTTTCCTTACAGCGTTGTATTTGTTGAGAAATATATGTTTGTTGCCCTTTAGCCAGCAGTTTTTCCTTACAGCGTGTATTTGTTGAGAAATATATGCTTGTTCATGTCTAATTTATTGATATACTTCTAATATATTCATTGTTGCTACGAGTTTTTGTAGTTAGTAAGTTCGTATAATATTTTGTGGCATGTATTAAACATGAGTAATGATCCTATAGGACCTTGCCACATCCCACATCCCAATGGCATAGGACCCCTATGGATCACTGTTATATCTGATTCCCAATCTCAAGATTGGGATGATGGTTGACCGGCCAACTTATATAAAAAAAATTACCAACTGACACCCCTATGTACTTCCCAACTGTGATCCTCTTTCTCTCTCTCGCCCCATTCCCCTCTCTCGGGTCCACCCCACTACCCCTCTC